AGAGTGCACCGGTATCTATATGGTCTATCTGCTTTAACTCTGATATCTTCTAACTCTGGTCACACTATGTATTCATGCTCTCTTGTTTCTCATAATAAGCAGTGATTGTTTACAGGGTGTGGATAAATTAATGGAAAAACTAAGTAACTGAGGAAGAGAATTTGTCTTTGTTGTCTACATTGAAAGAACTTCAGTTATATACACTGAATGTACATCTTTTGTTTACACTCTGTAGTGCTTGTGTAAGTGCATTTGTAACTGTGTTCAGTGACAGTCCGTGTTCAAGAACCGCAAACTGAGAGGCTTGTCCGATTTAGAAATGTGTATGTGCATGTTTAGCTGGAGCATCTGTGGAAATAATGCCACATTGTTAGGCGTACAGAGAGCGACAGTTGCTAAGGTTATGCTGGCATCCACGTATCATGGGAAGACATCACAGAAGAGGAACAGTGGCCGAAGATCAACATTGACAGCAAGAGATCGTCGTACTTAGAGAAGGATTGTTTCGAAAAATGACAGAATTGCTCTGTCACGGGTGATAGCAGAATTGAACGTTCATCTGGAAGACTCTCTTTCCAAAAAAACTGTCCGACGTGAGCTTCACAAATCCAACTGCAAGTGCTAAACCTCTGATTACTGAAAGTAATGTTCAGCCGCACAAACGGTAGTGTCACGACCATAAAACCTGGACATCAGACAACAGGAAACGGAAGTGTGATGTGGGCAGATGAGCCGTCCTTCACCCTACCCCCTACATCGGGAAGAGTTTACGTTTGGTGAACACTAGTTTTTTTATTGCTAGTGGGGTGGGACTAAGTCCCTTGTACTGCAGCCACTTCTGGCCTGTTGTACCAGCCCAGATGATAGGTGAGGATGATTGTGGAGCAGTTAGAATGAAGATTGGCAGGGGAAACCGAAGTACTCGGAGAAAAACCTGCCCCAGGGCCACTTTGTCCACCACAAATCCCACTTGACCAGACCCGGGATAGAACCCGGGCCGCCGAAGTGGGAAGCCAGCGACGAACCGCTTGAGCTATGGCGCGGCCTAAACTTGAACACTAAGGAAACCTCCAATCCGAAGCACCTGGTTCTAACTTCGAGACACAAGGGACGTTCTGTGATGGTTTGGGCAGCAATATCGTGGTGTAGTTTCTGTTGGTCCCATTGTTACCCTTCATGGCCCAATTACTGCAAGGGCGTGCGTGGCCAGGTTGGGTAATCAGGTGCACCCCAAGATCCAGACGTCATTTCCGAAAAACGATGCAGTTTTCTTAGACGGCAAGACCGCCATTCACACAGCTTGAACTGTTCAGTGATGGTTTGAAGAGCATGAAGGTGAACTTCAGCATCTTCCCTGGTCAGTAGATCGCCAGGTTTCAAGAGTACTGAACCTCTCTGGTCAGTTCTGCAGACTACAGTGATGAACAGGTTCCCACCTCCAACATCTCTAAAGCAACTTGAATGAAATCTTCAAGAAGAATGGTATAAAATTTCGCTAGAGACTTTTCAAAACTTATGCGAGTCCATTCCAAGAAGGACTGTTGCTCTATTGCAGGCAAATGTAGCCCAACACCAGGTCAATAAAGAAATGTGTACAGTATCAGTAGTGTCTCCATTATTTTGTTCAACTCTGTACCTTGACCTTTTTGTTGTGGGAAGAATATACTTATTGAATGATTTCTCCGATTAAATTAATAACATTCTGTCGCTCTGTCATTTACAAGAAAATGACATTTTCAGTTATAAAATTTGAAAGACGACATAAATTTAATGAAAAATTATCGACTTAATAATGCCTTCATTTAGTATTGATAATTGAAGAGCTTTTTCAAGAAAATGGCGGCTCCGGTCTAGAAAACCGAAATTAACGGCCGTGGTGATCCGTTGCGCTGACAACGCAACACCCTCTATCCGCTAAACTTGGCACTAACTTCGACGAAAAGCGACGGTCGCTCGGTCGGTATAGTTCACTTACTTACTACAGGCCACGGAGTTTTTTTTTTTTCATTTACTATTACAACATGAAAACTTTTAAAGGAGATTTGCTCCAAATCTTCTAACATTAGAATTTCTAAAACCAAATAAACAAATTTACGAGCACATCTCCAGATGTTTCTCATTATTGGATACTTAAGGAAGTCAGATGCCAATTTCATAATCTTAAAAACTTTTGCCAAAGTTATGTTCCAATTTAAGGATTCGTCATGGAAACTGCTAACAACCAACCTTTAAACTGACGTGTAATTTAAATATTATATTTAAGCATCCTGTTACATTCCACACTTCTATATGTATAATATATTATTTACATTTATGAAGGAGTTTGTATTATACATATAGAAGTGTAATTTAAAGATTTTTATCTTTTGTAGCAAATTTACGGGTTCAATACGAGCGAGAGTCAGTAAATATGTCACAAATGGCTATAAAACGTACAATGTCTTATTTCCGAACCTGAGAAAACATTTATTTCTCGACATGTCCTCCACCAACATTGATACATTTGTCGCACCGTTTTACCAGTGCGTCGAAAACCGCAGTATAAAATGTTTCTGACTTCTGCCTCAGGCACTTCCGCGCCTCAGTTTAATTATCTGCGACTTTCAAACGTCCATGAGAGAATTTCTCAACCGAGCTGTGAACCGCTTTACGCGACAAACACTCCTCATCATAAACAGGAAACCTTTCCGTGTGGATATAATTTCAATTGAGTCCTTCTGTCGATAAAAATGAACAACAAACTATACTTTTCGGTAGTATACCCCTCAAACACGGTCTTCTATCTATCTATCTATCTATCTATCTATCTATCTATCTATCTATCTATCTATCTATCTATCTGTCTGTTTTGTCTGTCTGTCTATCTATCTATTTACTTATCTATCTATCTATATATATATATCCACGCCCCCACGTAACATACATTTCGTCTCTTCACAGAATATTGTGACATGACGCCCGAGAGTCAGGATCGTCGGGATAGAGAAATCAGAACAGATGTTCATTGCTAGGTAACAGTTCAGTAAAATTATTCCCCCGGCAGCGATTACGGAAGCAAAAATCGAGTAACTTCCGTTGCCATGCAACGGAGCTGTAAACACGCCTTCCCAAAAATAGAGAGGGTGTGTTTACCGCGTGGTCCCTGCAAATTAGTTATGAAGAATATTTGAGTAGAGTTGATATGATTTTCGAGACGCTAGCCTGCCAGGACATGAGCTTGGGAGCAGGGAAATTGAATCGAGTTGCAGCTGCAGAATAATGGCAAGAAAGGATTTAGGCCGTTGAAAGAAAACTTCGTGTGTGATTTGAAGTGACAATGAGACTTATAAATCCGTTGCCAGAATACGACTATTAATGACTAAGAAACCCAGTGGGTGTGTAACGGCGAACTGTGAAGTGTGCGATCTGCTAGTCTTGGCAACAAGCCCCTTGAGACTCACGACCAGTAATTTTATTTTCCAGCTGAACACTTGTGGTAATGGTCCTTATGTAACATCCTCTCTTACTTAGATTCGAGACTCCCATGCCCTGGTCTGGTCTGGTCCTTCCTTCAGAGCTTCAGGAGAACTGAATCGCTTATGCCTTATCTCCTTATATCGTAGAAAAGGGTAATGCTTTCTCCTGTTGTTACAAACGTCAGAGAGATGGTAGTAGTTATGAATAAGAACGGAAGAGCCGAAAGATTTGGCATTATCAGTGAAAATCTTGACTCGTATTCTGAACGCGTTCGTTTCGAGTCATTGCTAGGACACAAACTGTCCTGAGTTTTTCGTGAATTTACTAAATATCTCAAGGCAAACCTCAGGATAATAACCTTGGTTAGACCACTATCATCTGTCATCCTACCATTCGAAACTGTATATACTAGCTGCTGGAAAGTCGTAAATTAAGGCATAAACAAAGCTCAGAAGACTGCCGTGATACATGGCACAGACAACTGTGCTTTAATCGATACAGCAGTGTCACTTTTGCTGAAAGAAGTTCGCAGCGTGCTCTCAAGATAGCAGCACCAGCCATTACATATTTTTAAACTCTCGTAAGCCGACGAGTTCCATAGCTCAAGCGGTTAGTCGCTGGCTTCCCACCGCGGCGGCCCGGGTTCGATCCCAGGTCTGGACAAATGGGATTTGTGGTGGACAAAGTGGTGCTTGGGCGGGTTTTCTTTGAGTACTTCAGTTTCCCCTGCCAATCTTCATTCCACCAATTGCTCCACAATCACCCTCACCTATCATCTGGGGCTGGTACAAGAGGCCAGAAGTGGCGCAGTACAAGGGACTTAGTCCCACCCCACTAGCAATAAAATAAAGGACACACCGGCAAGAGGTTTAGTTCTTAATGTAAGGTAAGCTACTAAGTTGCTAAAAATAAAGGGGATAACCACTCAAATGATACCGAGCTCAATAGTTTCAAATCTAAATTCCAAAAAAAAAAAAAAACTCTGTAAAAGTTAAAAAAGATAGTTATTCCTGTAAGAGTCCGTAGATGCCCATAGGGTTTTGAGACGTCGAGGCTCCCACATTTTCTAGACAATCGACCCACAGATGGCAGGGAGGTCAGCCTTACGTGCGGGTCGTAATGTACACCGCCAGTAAGATTCATGGTACTCATTTCTATTAGAGGTTGAGTCGACATCGGGGTCATGGTGCGGCTGGAAGAATTAGGTCAATTGAAATATTCAATGACGTAATCGGGAATCAAACCCACGACCTTCCGTCTTGCAACATAGTGCCTCAGCGAATTACGCTACCGCTTGCCCCTTCTAAATAACACTGTCCTGCTTACTGTTTTATTAAAATCCAGCTGTTTATCTAGAACGTTTGAAATAATCAATTTTATGTCTTTTTGAGGAAGTTGTTTAACGGACAAAAAATGTTACAGGGAAATTCTTTCCGCTTAAATTCAAGTCATAATGCTGATAACCGGAAGCAAATGGGCGTGGCTCTTCATGCTGCCTGTAATATAGAGAGATCAGCAAGTCACACATATGGAAAGGTACTTACGTATAGTAGGAAGAGCTGGAGGCAGGAAGGAGCTATCTGAACCCCGACATCGACGCACATTTCCAAGACAGAAGCTCACAGAGTGGTGCTCCTTGTGTTTGGGAGGCGGCACGGGCAGCGCCCCGTCAAATGAATCCGGAGCCGAATTGGTCTGCTTTCTCATGAAGAATCGTCTTCTCTTCTCAGCCGGTTTCAATGCACATGAGTTAGAACCAACAACTTCACTGGTTTGTCTCGTACATCCAGCGATAGAAGAAAGAGTTCTCGTTTCATCCATTGACCACTGATGTTTCAGTTTCGGACGGGGTCGAAGATCAAACATCGTTGGCCGAGCGGGCAACGAAACTTCAGTTATGGTATCGCGGTTTTCTTCATGATCAAATGATTCCGAATCGCCTATTGTAGAATCAAATTGAGGTTTGCTGGTTGTTGTGGTAGTTGATGGAGTTGCTGATCGAGGAGATAGTTCGGATGATAACGCTGGCGTTGGTTCTTTGGATGATCCCGTTGAGCAGTCATCCAGAAGATGTATTTGATCTTGTGGTTTGGGAGAACTTGACCGTACAGCTTGCGAGAAAGCTCCAGGAGGAAGAAAGAGTTTTGGTGATGGTGGTGGAGCGGGAATTCTTGGTATTATCTGCGAATCAAAGAATGATACATCGAGAAGTTTTGGCGTCGGACACGAATATTTTGGTGAGACTGGGAGGGATTGGGCTGTTCTTGATTCAGAGTAATATGAATCACTGTAATTCTGTGTAGATGGACATATAAGATTAGAGGAGACGCGATGTGCCGTGACTTTGGGTTTTATTGTGCTTATATCCCCAAATTTTGAGGAAGGCGGTGAGGAAGGACGGGATGGTTTAGGTGATATGGGCGGACCAGGGATTTTCGGTATGAAAGGCATCGAAACATGAGGAGTAAATGAATCTACCGGTCTGGGAGTTGTTGGAGCTGACTTTCTTAATGGAGAAGGTGGTGGTCCGGGAATTTTTGGAATAGGTGATGTGGGGTAAGATGGAGAAACGGAATCTGCAAGATCAGCAATGAGGAGCCCAGATACAGTCGGACGAGGTATCTTCATGTTAATTGTATCTTGCGTACTGGTTGATATTCTTCTATGAAACTGAAGCGTTGTCGGCGGACTGATAGAGGATGAAGCCGTTACGGGAACCGACCCAAGAGAGTCCAGTGACCTTGAGCGCTGGGCACGAAACACAGAGCCAGTGTTGGCGTCCGTGTCATTTTCCCATGAAATCATCTGTTCGTTTAAGAGAGACAACATTGAGCCTCCCAGGTCGGGTGATGGCAGACGGGGATCATCTTCCATGTATCCTTGTGTGTGATGGTCTTGCCAAGTGTCTGACATGGACCTCTGAGTGGGCACGAAACGCTGCCGTAAGGCTTTAGCTCTGGAGGATATGAAGGACATGGTACGTAGGAGCTTCCTTCCGTCGCGTGTCTCCATTTCGTTTAATAATCTATAAAGAAAAGATCAATTACAATTAAAACATAAGTAATTGGTTTAAATTAATATACTGTGATATATAGACCCATTGCTATGAAACGAGTTGAGAAACAATTTTCGTAAAGATTGATTCTTGGAAACTGACTCGTTACGGAACACATTTCTAAGGATACGAGTGATTAACGAACATTTCCTTGGTTACCGATACGCCATATAGGCCGTTCATATCGGCCAATCATGAGAATGGACAACTTCGCGGTATGTGAGAGACTTGAACTTGGCGGTGGTCAAGCTTACGACATTTCAAATGATTAAACTGCCGTTGTAGCATAAGATACTTAAGGTAGGCATAATCTGCTCTGTAAAGCCTGTACTGACAGAGGACATTTGTGTGGAACAAAAGGAAGAATTTACAATAATGTGTTATACGTGCGAAATATACATTTGGCGAGGAGCTAAGCAAATACATAGTGGCCAACCCATATTCTCGTCAGAGAGGATGATACATTAGGACTATTACCGCAAGAGTTCAGTTGCAAAGAATCTGGTCGTGGGCCTGAAAGGGACTTGCGCCCAGACGAACTGATTATCGGCAAACCGCCAGTCGTAATGAAATTTTAACCTCGATTTTGACTCTGAGAATGAAGTCAGTATAAATCAGACACACTCTTAGTTCAAATCAGACTCAGAAGAGGTCAGATCAGAATGGAGTGAGCCCTAGACACAGATTTATTTTGAGTTATTGTTCCTGAGTGAGAATAAGAATGATTGTACAAAACGGAGTTCATAAATCCAACACTTGTTATTAGTTACGCGACCATAAATACGTGATAATACAAATGGACTGAAAGTACTAGACCCGAAACACTCTTAGTCTGTAATTCTGATTTTCAAAACCCCTAAATGGAACAAACGGGGGGGGGGGGAAGCAGTTGGACAGGACATATAACACGCACTGAAAAGATGAAAATGCATAAAACGGTATCGTAGAAAAATATAAAGCATAAAAAAGGTAAATTTGTCCCTGTACTTAAATAATTAAGCACTACGCCATGAAGGCGTATGGGGGAGTGGATTTATAGATCCACATTTTCTTGACATCAACACTAGCTTGAGGTGAGTGGCCAGCTTCAAGCCCCACCCGCTTTAATCTTAGGACAGAATCCCCGGTACCCATTGGATAGGAGTTTAGGTAGACCCCAGAGCCAGTCTGGACGACTTGGAAGAGAGAAAATTCTTGGCCCTATCGGGACTCGAACTCCGACAACTTCGCTGCCCAACCCGTAGCCAGTCGCTATACCGACTACTCTAACCTAGATGTAGGTACAGAATACAACTCTAATGGATCTTAAAGAAATCGGATGAGAGACTTAGAATTCAACTCGTTCGAATGAGGGCAATCCCAGGAAGCGGGCTCTGCCCGTATGCAGAGGTGGGCCTTTGTGTTCTATGAAACGTGGAGAATTTCGAGGCTACCGGAGTTACTGTGATCTCCTCAAGAAATGCTCTGTTGCACAGAGTGAGTGTGTAAAACGTATCCCTGTAACAGGCCGTGGAGGCCCATAGGGTTGTGAGATGTTGAGGTTCCCACATTTTCTAGACCAGCCGTGTCAAACATGCGGCCCCCATAGCCACAAAGTAAAGACAATTTTCCAGCACACCAGAAGACAAGAAGTCTCACGCAGACATAAATTAGCAGGCTGCAGGAAATTCAATGTTTTGCTGTTTGTAGCATAATTTCTTGTGTAATCTCTCTTTTTACATATTGAAAAGTTGCTTGATACATGTCAAAATTGGCATTCTCTTGCTTTTTAAAACTGTAAGATATGTGGCTTTAGGTAATTATATTGAAATTATTCCTAAATAATAAATAGAATTAAATTTCCTTGTATCAAAATCTAATGTATATTTCTATTTTGAAGTGTGGCCCTGGACTATTGTTTATAGGGCTGAGGTAGCCCTCTGTACAAGTTGAGTTTGACAAGCCTGTTCTAGACAGTCGGCTCATAGATGGCGGTAAGGTTGTCAGCCTTACACGCCGGCAGCCCTTTACCCCTAAGCATATTCCTGGTACTCATTTCTGTTAGAGGGTGAGTCGACCCCAGGGCCATAGTGCTGATGGAAGGATTAGGTCAGTTGAAAAAATCCTATGATCTCATCGGGATTTGAACCCGCGACCTTCCGGCTTGTAGCATAGTGCCTCAACCAACTACGCTACCGCGTGTTTCCAGTTGGTGTGTAAAGCATCTTATTAGTTTTTTCGTTGTGCTGTGTTGGATATCTGCAGTAGATGACAGACTGACGGGATGTCAAACGCGGAAGAATATCTTTGATTCATTTTCTAGCCCCGAAGCTACCAGACTCTCTAAATGTAACGAATGCGTTGCAACGTGTGTCCCTGCGACACTGAGTGTTCAACGGATAAATTTATCTAAATGAAAATTTCATTAATAATGAGAACTTGAGTAAGTTAGTTACTTTAGAAATACGTAAATGTGTAAGCAGTTAACCCAATACCGAGCACAGTGGCCTCGCGATCTAAGGCATGAACTGTGTTCGCCCGCTCGAACCCCAGGATTGTGGGTTCGAATCCTACTCAAGGCACGAATGTCTGTATTGTGTCCCTGTATTCAGTGTTTGTGTTGTTCTGTGCGCAGACTGAGGCCTTGCGACGGGCCGATTTCCTGTCCAAGGAGCCCTACCGATTGTGTATAGGATTAAGAAACTGAAAATTTGGCCTAGCCCCAACATAGGGCTGTAGAACCATAATAATAATAATAATAATAATAATAACAATAATAATAATAATAATAATTCAATTCGTATTTATTTACGTGCAAACTTCACAGCACAGAGGCCAATAACAAAGTTGGCAATAGTACATAGAAATAGAGATCTAACTAAAAAACAAAATACAAATAATAGTAATAATAAACATATTATGACGCTAACACGATAAAATAATAGGCCTATTTCTCAAGTTAATTTTTTTTAAGTTGTCCATGTGCTTAATTAGTTAAGTGCTATGCCATGAAAACATACAGAGAAGTGGCGGTATAGCTCCATTTTTCTTTACCTCGGCACTAGATGAAGATAAGTTTTCAGCTACACGCCCCTTACCGTTTTAACCCCCGGTTAAAACCCCCTATTTCCCGTTGGATATATGGTTTAACTGTGAATATTAACTAAAAAAAGAATTTTGCTTTTTACGCAAAGTAATAAGAACCCCACAAACAAACAAACAAACTAAACTGTTCCTGAACTGTCATGCAATTTTAACACTCAAATAACTCGTAAGCATAATTACCACTGCCCTGAACACATTAACTGAATTCTCTGCACAGAGAACCTTGAAATATTGATATATATTGACGTGGACAGACAATTCCATGTTTCTCTACAGCCGAGACATTCTTCACTGTGTCCTCAATAACCTGCCGCCGGGCCCCATTCTGAACCATTTCAAGACAGTAAACAATTCTGAGATCGCGCTCCTCCAAGGCACCTTTCAATATTCTTTCCATGTACGTGTGTGTTTCCCAAGTTTGCCTCCGCTGCAGGTGCTTCGAGCAGAATGTGTTTACTTCTCATTCCATGTCCGTGCACTTCACGGTTTCATCCTGCATGTGATCATCATAACGACATCTGGCTCCTTGTTACGCAGTTCTGACCAGCATTGTCGCTTCCTCTTGCGAAGGTCCATATATTTTCCTCAGAATCACATTCTCGAATACCCATTACAGCAAATGACCAAGTTTCACACCCATATAAAACAACGGACATAGTATTTTATTGCTAGTGGGGTGGGACTAAGTCCCTTGTACTGCGCCCACCTGTGGCCTATTGTACCAGCCCCAGATGATAGGTGAGGGTGGAGTAATTGGTGGAATGAAGATTGGCAGGGGAAACCGAAGTACTCGGAGAAAACCTGCCCCAGCGCCATTTTGTCCACCACAAATCCCACTTGAGCAGACTCGAGATCGAACCCGTGTCGCCGCGGTGGAAAGCCAGCGACTAACCGCTTGAGCTATGGCGCGGCCCTAAGAAATAGATAACTGCAGTGTGTGAGAAAAACACTAAGATTTCAAACGTTAAATTAGATAATTACATAATTTCTACTGTCCTTCGGGGAGTTAAGTATCCTGTCTGTCAATCACTGAGCCATGTATTAAATGGTTTCGTAAAGGGAATAAATAGTTGAGTATCGGTTCTTTGAAAAGAATCTTCGTAATATGGGGTTACATATTCCGACATAGACTCAGGAATAAATACAATCTCGCACTTAGAAACAAATACAGAATCAGGCACTCACAAAGCCGTTCGTGGACCACATACAGGTCCCTTCATACAATCAGGAGAAAGCACTAAGACACTCATAAACTCGCTCCTAATCTCGCACAGCCTCACTCATACACTTGAATATACACGCTGGCTCAGACACAGACTCGCTCCTGAGTTCACACAGGCTCACTCAACACTTGGAAGCACACCCTGGCTCAGAGACAGACTCGCTCCTGAGTTCACACAGGCTCACTCAACACCTACAGCTACGCACTGGCTCAGACACAGACTCCATCCTGAATTCACACAGGCTCAACACTTGGAAGCACACCCTGGCTCAGAGACAGACTCGCTCCTGAGTTCACACAGGCTCACTCAACACCTACAGCTACGCACTGGCTCAGACACAGACTCGATCCTGAGTTCACACAGGCTCACTCAACACTTGGAAGCACACCCTGGCTCAGAGACAGACTCGATCCTGAGTTCACACAGGCTCACTCAACACTTGGAAGCACACCCTGGCTCAGAGACAGACTCACTCCTGAGTTCACACAGGCCCACTCAACACCTAGCTACGCACTGGCTCAGACACAGACTCGCTCCTGAGTTCACACAGGCTCACTCAATACCTGCAGCTACGCACTGGCTCAGACACAGACTCGCTCCTGAGTTCACACAGGCTCACTCAATACCTGCAGCTACGCACTGGCTCAGACACAGACAAATTCA